AAAGAAATATTCCTTGAATATATATTCACCACAATTCAACATGCAATATGCACTTCGAAATTGAAATGAAACAAAACTAATGTAATTGTAAAACATGCCTAAATAGCAGCTGCTCTTCATTCCCTTTTCAACACCTACTATAAGCAAAGGCTTGCCATAGCTCATGCAACTTGGGTCATTACACATTATATCAAAGACTATAGATGCCAGTGCTTCCCATTTTACCTTTCAGAATTCTGGATGACCTCTTTAGGCATTACACAAGGAGAGGGAGATGGATATTGTACCTTCTGCTCTACAAGTATCTGAGATAACAAGCTGAAGTGCCTTCTACCTCTGCTTGCACTGAGCAGATCCTCCTCTCAGCTCTCCTAGAGCTGTTGAGGAAAAGCAGGGACATACTCTCCCCATATCTATTCTTTTCTAGAACAATTCTCCCAACACAGAAGACCTATGCTTTTTGAAGAGGAGTTTCCAATTTTTAACCTAGCTGTAGTTTAAAAACATCTTTTTTTTTCTACATTCTCTCAAATACTGCATCTGCAATGGAATCTTTAGAGTGCAAGAATTATGTGTGGTTACTGGCTTAATCTCTGATGGATTCCTAATGGTCTGTTTTTATCTCATGATCTCAGAACAATTTAGAATGTTGCACAAGAATCAACAGCTCTGATGCAAAGAAATGGTAGCAATGCAGTTTTACAAGTTAAAAATCTGGATATGATGCTGGATTTGCAACATTTGACTGGCTGAAGATTCTGAAAGGTAACAGCTGAAGTAAAGGATATTACCCAGAAAAGCTAGAAGTTAAAATAAACCCAAGGTTATCAGGTCTTCAGCAACATCTTACATATAATAAAAAATATGAAGATATGTAATTATCTGTAATTAACTGGACAGTGGAGAACATTTCCAGAACATGCAGAGAGTTAATTTTGAAGTCATACCAACTTTCATCTGCTGGGGCTGCATCTGTCTGTTGCCCAAACATACTCAATGCTGAGTATCTCTATTCCTGCATAACTCTTATTCACAAAACAAAAAAAGAACACAAACAATGTTCTTCCTTTAATCTGTTTGTATGTTTTAGATAAAGCTATTCTGATAGTTTAAGACTATTTGTTCAGATTACACGAGCTATTCAGTGCCAGAGTTATTTAAATCCTGGGAAGAGGTACTACAATAGACAGAAATGATGTATGAATAGTACATAAATGATGATAATGGAAGGGCTGATTTAATAAATAGAAACTTTCAGCTGAAAGCATGAATGAGGCGGCCTTGGATCTCCAGCTCCACTGATGTGGAACATGGGGTCACAAAAAACTGAGGGCAAATGCTGCACATTGCCCTGTCCATTTTTATCCCATGCTCTGAAAACTGGACACTGTTGGATAAGCTACTGGAGCTGCCACCTTGCAGATGATATTTGAAACTGACAATCTAATCATCTGCAGCACTTTTTGTAAAGGATAAGGAATTAGCTGTAGTGAACTGGCCTCATTTCAGCCTGCATAATTACACCCTGCACACCTATGAGTCCTTTCCCTTTTCTTAGGGGAAAAAAAGAACATGTTCTTCCCTTGCTGTAAGCCTTTTGCCTAGGAAATCTCAGCTATAGCTGTAATCATCTTGTGCTTAAGTTGATATCAAACTGTTAAATTTGCAATGTACTTTGAGATGATTTATTCTAAATCTTAAGATTATTATTGCAGACATCTCAAAGGACTACATATTCCACCCTGCATGTTCCAATAATGAGGCATGAAAGAGTAAACTGAGAGTTTGGTTTCTGATTCCTCCTCCTTTTTTGCCCTGCCCATTTATATGCTTTGAAAACTGAAGTCATAACACTGTCGGAACTTTTTTTAGTGGTTTAATAAACAAGACATGCTTGCACTTGCTTTGCATTTTAATAGCAATGCAGTGGCAATATGACACTTCCACAAATACAATGCATGCAATTACATAGGGTTTTAAAGGCTAATTTTTTGTCAGGCATATATATACACACATATTTTAAAATTCTTTTGTTCAAAACCTAAAAATCCTCTCTCAATTTTCACTTTCTCATTATGGGTACCTGATTGCCTTTCAGGTGGGATTTGAAGGGCACACACCACTTGGAGCTCTTAAGAGCCAGATCTTTGTGACTGTATCACTATAGTTAGCTTCAGTGAAAACTTCCATTCAGAAACAGAAGAGTACCTATGGAAGTGGTCACATGGTTGATCTGGAAGTTTTTAATCTTTCTTTTTCTTCCTTGAGGACAGTTCCAACACAAGGAATCTGCTCCCTAATCTGCATATATAAATATACAGTTCTACTTGACTGTATTTGTATGTTTCCTCTTCTGCCTTCTCTTAGCTACTTCAGTGCTCTCCTGTATTTCAGTATACACAGCAAAATGTGCTGCTGCCCTGGTGTGCTGTGTTTCAGTGTGGTGTGTCTGGTGCCTGTGACCAGCAGACAGATATGACAGAACACTCAGAGTGACACCGAGAGCATCAGTGCTAAGAGCAACAGTGGCCAAGCATTGCTAACATAACTTTGTTTCAGGATTTTAAAGTCCCAAAGTATTGCAATGGCCTGTCAAGGGTTTTGGTTTGACCCATTTTAAATATCTTGTGTCTATTATGCAAGTAGACCTTCATTAACCTGCCCCGAAGTTCTTAAAAATTAAATTAAATCTCACTAGAAAAGATTCAAGTAGTAAAGTGGTAGTTTTAATTCTAAGGGATACAACTTATACTGTGTTATGCTTCTGATTTTAGACCATCACCTCTCTCTCTCTCTCTTTTGCCAGGCTCAGGGTGCCATTTCACTCATTTTCATTCACAGGTAAATTGGATGACCAGGAATGAAATTAATTCCATATTCTGGCTCAACGTGCATTAAATAAACAAAAGGACTCATATTAACTTTAGTAGAATACCTACAATGTTTAGCAGAGCACTACAGTTAAGACAAAATATGCATATAGTTTTAAAGGAAAAGATTTAATATTCCATGCTATACTGACAATATTTAATCTATGTTTATGCTAAGCAGAATAACTTTCTTTATGCTTCAGATGTCCATATTCATAAATTTACAGTATAATATTGTATTTTGCTTTTTCACTAGGTTCAGCTAGACTGTTATCCTGACAAACATTTTCAAAGATTTTTTACTTACTAACTCAAGAGAATACAATCAGAATTTTTATGCTACATACCTTCACTGGTCTAGGAATTATAGGCTTGAGCAACTTACATTTTATAATAAGCTGCCAATGAGATGAGGTAAAACAGTCACTCCAGAAAAGGATCTAATTCAGTGTACTTACTGTGTGCTAGCATTAGTTAGTGATTAGGTTATTAAATCCTCTCTAATTATTATTTGAAGCTTTTAATAAATAGCTTTTTGCAAAATGGATCTTATCTAAAAATTTAATTTATTGGATGTTTACAGGCTTAAAAAAAAGTGATTTTATGATATAAACCCAGAATTACTTCCTTTTTAAATAAACCAAACCGGTGCTGTAATTGAGATGAGCATGCTATTTTTTTCACACAATAATCTGATATGGGACTTTCTTCTCTCAAGAGACTTGCTTGATCTGCTCTTTATAGACATTCAGTCTCTGTAAATATGCTTTTGGTTTCTTTATCAGTAATAGTATTAGACCTGAATGCTTCAGTATACAGTGTAATGGGATATTAAAGGGCTTTCTGTATATGTTTCAGACAAGCTAGTCTAATAGAAAGCTAGTCTAATAGATAGAAAATCACATTGCTTTCTTTCCCTTTTTTTTTCCTCTCTGTCATTGTTTGCCTTTTCTTCCTGCTTGTACTTTGCTACTGAACCATCTGACTATCTGTGTTGCCATGGGAAGGACTGCAATGCCATAAATTCAGAGAAGATAAGTTCCTGTGTTCATTTTTTTTTTTTTTCCATTTTATTCTTAAACAATCATTAGCACAGGTTAGCTGCTTTCATAAGGGTATTCTGGCACTAGGGGAGGATTGTAAAATATTCATTTCTGGAAAAGATACAGCAAAAACATTCCACTTGTTTCACAGAAAGGCACCAACCTACACAGGCAAAAATCCATGCTTCCCAACTTGTAGATACCTGACTGTTTGAGAAGTGAGCCAAATTATGGGCAGCCATCCATCTAGTCTTATGGTAGCTAATATGAATTCCAGAAATCTTACAAAATTGAGTTAAAAACATGTTGAATAAAAAAAAAAGTGCTGGATGCCTCAGAGGATTTGTGATGTAATTCAGGGGCTTTCATTTTCAAATCACCGGTTAAACACCCCACAGGCTGAAATTTGCCACTTTCTAAAATCTTTGAAGTGTGGCCTATCCAGAGGGAGCCCAGTGGCCTCAGCTCAGGTGCCAGTGCCAGCTCCAGCTCTCCCCACTAGTCAGAGTCCCTTGTGCAGGCAGGCTCCCACTCAGTGGGCTCGAAAGGCAAAGGTCAGAACACCTTCCAAAAGCAGATCCTCCAAGTACCACTGCAAATAACAGACCTGGCTTTGTTCAACAGAAAACTCTTTGAGCCACAAACTAAATGTCTTTGGACAATGGGTTCCTCAAGTAAAATCTACTGAAGTAAAAGGGAATGTACCACCTGGGCATGGCAGAGGCAGAACCACACACTGTAATGGGATCCAGCTTCCTCATGTACAACCAGACCAAGTGCCTGAGTAAGGTCCTAAATGCTGAACACTGCAAGAGCCACTCAGCATCACCAGGCCATATCTCCACATCACCTGCTTTTCCCATCCCGGATCAAGCCTGGGGGCTCACACTTACTCCCTCTGGCTAAGCTCCAAAGCTCCGAACAGGCACAATGAAGACCCTCACTGGTACTTGGCAATGAACACAACCTGGCCCTGTTTCTGTCACTGTATTAATCATCAGTGCTGACATGAGGAACAGCTCATTTTGACCAGTAAACAACAGAAATGTGATTCAGAAGATACCGGGAGAGCCGAGCACAGACTCACCGTCCTGTCCGCAGCCACATGCTAATCTCCCGTTTGGCTGATGCTGTGTGCTGAGCTGCTCTGTTCAATATTTAGCACGTTGATTGGCTTGTTATTCACTTCTGCCTCTGCTGGAAGCCAGACTAACCTGTGGGGGAAGTGTGGAAAACAATTACAGTATATTGAAATGGTCATACAAGTGCAGTACACTGCAACACTTTACATAATTTATTAGGTGTTACTACACGCACTGGCACTCACATGACAGAGATCTTAACAAGACCAACAAATATGACAACATCTGCATTCCTGTAGGAACATTTGAGATGAAAATTTAACATTAAACCAAAGCTGCACTTGCTGCAGTGCAAACACTGCAATCAAGTGGTCTGCCTTGACTTGCGATGTATTATGTTAACATGGTATGGTTGCCAGCGAAAAACAGAAATGTTCATTACAGCAGCAATTAATTGCTTAATTTTTGAAAATTAACAGTTAATATATTTTTCCAAACCAATCCAATTCAGTGGTACTCTGAATTTTCATGCATCATTTCTTTATTTTTGTCCCTATTGTGCACACAAGGTCAATTAACTGGCAAATATAATTATTTTACAAACATAGCAAGGAGCAGCTATTATAAATAACAACTGATTTGCATATTTCCTTGTTTCTGAAGAAAACAGTGATGTTACAGGTCTGAAAATCTTTGCAACTCTAATATATCGAGATACTGTTTTTCAGTAAATCTTCTGTTTCTGTAGGTATTCTAGTCAATGTGCTATTTCTTAGATTAAAATCAGCAAGTAGAAGCTGGGTTGCAGATTTCAGAACTTGTCTCATTTGCATCTTCAAAATGGAATGGAACTGAAAGCTTTCAAGCTTTATTGTTCAACGCCACAATTCTGTTGCTCTTTGTAAATGAAACGGAAAAGAGATGTATGTGAATATATCACACATTTCAGGGTAAATGAGATTTTCAAATTGTAAATGAGTATCATTGTTTGTAGTTACCTTCACAGCATCTCTGAAGTTGAAGCTGTGAGCTGAATTCTGACTGAATTTTATGAAAGATTTGGGAAAACATGACTCACAAGATTTTAATACTGGCAGACAAAGACCCCTTTCTGACTCTATTTTTGTTTTCCAGGGTTCCTTTAAATAAAGAAGATATTCAAGACTGAAGGACAATGGAGAACAGCTGCAAGGATTATTTCTTTTAAAAGGAGAAATCAAAGGGCAGCACTCCTCATGTGCACTATATATGTGGCAATCTGGCTGAATATCGAAGGACTGCCCGGTACTCAAATGCTGTGCTGAAGCTGTGTGACTAGAGAGGTTTTCCTAGACATATTTCTTGATGACAACTGCATGCTGTTGGATTTGTTTCAGTGACTGTGAATCTGTGAGCCATACATATTGTGTTCCATTTGCCACTTCACAAGAAAAAATATTTAGCGAGCTTATGGCAAGCAGGACACCTCATTTGTGCTGATTGGGGTAGATAGGATGATTTGTAGATTCACACATCCTGAGCTTCAGGCACTTTGAAAAAACTACATTGGGCGAATTTGAGATTTATGCCCCAGCCCCAGTGCAATTCATGTGTTGGGGTGCTCCTACTGAGACCCACCAATGGGAGCTGACAGCTGCATACAGCGCAGTGGAAACATTTTAGAGCTCGCTGTAAAGAAAATAGAGCAGTCTTCGCCTAGCAGGGAGGAAAATCGATGAGTCGGCACTTGGCAGTGGTGACCAGCAGGAGGATGCTTCTGATGGATGCTGAGTCATTGATTTCCCTCCCTGATCAGCAGCAGCTGCTCCATTCACACTGCAGAGCCTTCCTGCCACGACCACACGTGTCAGCAGGCTTTATTGTCATTAAAGCAAGAGCTATTAGCTGACAAGACACCCAATTTGTATATTTTTTTTTGTTTCAATAGCACTACCTTACAATTCAAAGTTGCTTCTCAGCTAGGGCACCTAAAAAGACATTCATATCAAGGCAGGAGATCCAATAGCACAGGCAGCTCACAGGTACAGGCAGTATTTGCACAACAGATGTGTGAATGTCACCCAAGCCTTTGGTTTCTTTTCTCACCAGGAGGCATAAATTTCACAAACTCAGAGCACAGTCAAGCAAAGAGGTTAAGACATCATCTGAGAAGGTAGACTGCAAGTCAGCACAAAGCTTACATGTTTAAGGCTGACATATGTATAAATATGCAGAGGGACTGGGCTCTGCTCATGTGCCATGCCTTCAGTTTGTGTGAAATAACATGGTACGCCTGAAGACCAAAGCCTAATTAAAGTTTGCAATTTTATGACAGTAAAAAAGCAACAGGTAAAACAGGTGAGACTACAGTGAATGACTACAATGAAAGTATAGTAAGAGCAGGTTATTAAAAATCTCAGCATTTGATGAGGATGTATGTATTTCTTAACGTTCTATCATTTGTAATATTGTTTACATTACCATAATTGTTACTTAAGAAGTTAATGTGTTTGTATATCTGTTTGAATAGATCTCTAAGGAAGCAGTTTACATAAGGAGAAAAAAGAAAAGGGGCTGTCATGAGATAAATGCTGTTTCTCAGGATTAAAATCGACTGAAATACACTATTTATAGTCAGGCACTTCACTGCTAGTAGCAATGCTGAGCCTCTATATTTCAGGTTCCATTCATCACAGAATATGCATGACTTTGCCTCAAAAACACTCACAGAAAAAGTCATAGGTCAGGCTTCTGTGCTTGAACTGGTATTTTAGCAAAAGCTCACGTGGCCAGCCACAAACCCATTCTCCTTTAACTCTAGGGGTGTTTGTCCTCTGAGGAAGAGCCTCTTCACCACAGTCACAAGCCTGGATTCAGGAGAGCCCATCACTGGCAAACTGTAGTTTCCTACTTAATTCAGCTGCAGATTGAAAATTGATCTTTTATAGTTTGCTCCCTGCTTTCATAAGGCACAAGTCTACTTAAATTATTTTGCTTTTTCAAGTGACCTCATCTCCTGGCTTCAGTGAATCTGTGTTAGAGCTGCAGCGAACTCAGTGGTTTTAGTTTAGATAGATTTTGGAAAGTGCACATCAGTTACAACATCCACTAAGGTTGGAGTGTTTTTTGAGTTTATGAACTCTAAAATTTAAGATAAGCATCACTGCCAGCACCTTTCCATTGCCTTATCTCCCTGCATTTCTGAAAGCCTGCCTTCACTCTGCTGTGCCTGGGGCAGCTGAGCAGGCTCCTCCTCATACCAGTGGTTGCATTAGCACAGAAGCTTTCAAGGATAACTGCTGCTCCTCGGGGAGCCCCAGAATAGGAGCAGGCAAGAGTGCTCTCATTCTTTTATTCTTTCACACATCTGGGGCCTGAAGTGTCTTAGGCTGTGCTAAAAATCTGCTAACTTAAGAAACAAGTCTTTGAAATCAGATTGTCAGCTACACTGCAGGTAATGAGCTGTGCAACTTCTGAAATCATACACATATCACTTTCTTTAAATTTGTTGACCAAGGGTATGTAAAAGACAAAACAGAAATAGCAAATGAATTCAAAAGTATAATGTGACCCTGTCTCATGTCTGAATTTCTTTGGTATGATCCATATGGACAGAAATGACTTGCACATTAGCAGTTGCCACTGACACAAGTAGCAGTGTTCTTGTAGTTCTCCATTTATTTGCCAATGATTTTAGTAAAATATTAGCTTTGCAATCTGAAGGCCAGGTTCTGGTACTGACTGATGACCAGGTGACAAGGAATAGAAGAGCAACCAAGTGAAAAATAAAGAGCATAACAGATACTAAATAATTTAATTATTGATTGAAAATTAAAGAATGCTCTATTCAGGGCAGAATTCAAGCTGAATAGGATACTTGGTGTGTAAAATGTTTTTAACTCCTATAACCCTGATCAGAAGGGGATATGCTACCCATAAATAATAAATTTCCAATACATATTATGCATATGGGGACACATAATCCAAGTTTTGGGTAACAAGAAATTTCATTACATAGATGTTCCAATGAACAAGATTGTGCAACGTTTAGATCATATCTAACTAATACAATTAAAGATTTAGACATAATTAATATAGATCCAAACGTTTACCTAATTAAAATGAACAGGGTAGAAAGAATTGATTATACATTTCCTTATGAATGAAAATAAACATACAAATTAGTGTTCTTCTAAAGATAATGTATAACTCTAAGGCTTTGATGATAGGAATCTCACATTATTTTTAATGTAAGATTGCTACTGATCTGAAAAAATGTATGTTATTACAATTAGTCAGTCAGATTGTCCAAATCAGTATCTGCACTGATGGAACAATGACAATTTACCATATCTGAGGATCTGCTTGTTATCTTCAACCAATAAGAAACACAGAATCAACATTTGTAAAGAGGAACACTTCCTTAGAGACACTATGAAAAAAAAACTTTTTCAGATGAAAAATGAAAATCAGTGATAACACTGCAAAGGCTGTCACCATCACCAGTACTCAAACAGCCTCAGTATAGGTAAAATAAGAAAATTTATCTGAAAATAAATTCAAAAAAGGTTTCCCATAATGATGTGAAATTCTGAGAAGGGGTTTAAAATTTTTCCTGAGCTCTGAAATCATATAAGATCCTTGAAAAAATACTTTATCTAGATGGGGTAACATTTGGAGTCATTATATTGTGTGTATCCCTTTCTGTTACATTCCGAAAATAAAATCAGAGTATTCAAAAACAGCCCCAAATAGGCTGCCTTTTGGACACAGAAGACATCCTTAAAATATATTCCAAAAACTCTCAAATGTTCAGAGAAACAGCTGTTCAATCTTATGTCATATCACTACACCATTCTTGTTGCAAAAGATAGAGACCTTGCATAATCAACATATTTTCCTGGCATGGTCTCCTATCACTCCTGTTCTCACTCTCTAACGTAGCTGCTGCATTAGCAGCACTTCTGTTTGACCACATATGCTGAAGATTATTTTCTAGAATAGACTTTCAGAGTTGAAGCTTCATGAATACTGCTGGTCAGAGCTGTCAGGAGCCTTCTTCATAGAAGACATAATTTTACTTTTAAAGACATCTGGTCAATATTTGTTAAAGCTTATAGATTGGTTTAATGATGTGGGACTAGAAACTCT